AGAATTTGCCTCAGGATGAATCATGCCTTGAGTTCAACCCACATCTGATTCAGATGAGACTCGACTTTTGAGTTGGTGCTGGACTTAGTTAAGAATTGTGGGGCTATTGGGATGGAATGTATGTATTTTCTGTGTGAAAAGAACACGAGTTTTGAGGGTCAGGGGCAAAATGCTAGGGTTTGAATGTCTCCTCCAAACTTCATGTTGAAATTTAATTGCCAATGTGATGGTTTTAAGAGGTGGGAACTTTAAAAGGTGATTAGGTTGGCTCAGCGCTGTGCTTCATGCCTGTAATCTCAGCACTTTGGGAGGCCCAGGTGGGCAGATCACCTGAGGTCAGGAGTTTGAGACCAGCCTGGCCAATGTGGTGAAACCCCGTTTCTACTAAAAATAGAAAAATTGGCCAGGCGTGGTGGCAGATGCCTGAAATTCCTGCTATTCAGGAGGCTGAGGCAGGAGAATCGCTTGAACCCAGGAAGCTGGAGGTTGCAGTGAGGTGAGATTGTGCCATTGCACTCCAGCCAGGGTGACAAGAGCAAAACTGTCTCAAAAAAAAAAAAAAATGTGATTAGGTAATAAGGGCCTTGCCCTCGTGAATAGATTAATACTATTATCACAGGAGTGGCTTAGTTATCATGGGTGTCTGCCGCTTTTTCTGTCTCACACACTGTCGCTGTCTCTCATCACGTGAGTCTGCCATCGGATGATGTAGCACAAAGGCCCTCACCATATCTAATTGTTAATATTCAAACTCAGGATAATGGTTACCTTTGGGGAAGAAAAAGGCTGTGACTTGAGGGATGAAATAGCATTACTGGAACACTAGTAGTGCTCCATTTCTTGACCTAGATGATAATTTTACAGATATGTTCACTTTGAACATTTATATTTTGTATTCTTTTAATAAGTTAAAAAGTTCCCAAACTGAATTCTGATGCCTTATGCCGTCTGTGAACCTTCTCCGTACTTGGTATTCTCTGTCTCAGTACACAGCAAGTCCTTTCAAGTTGCTCGGGCCAGAGTCCTTAAAGCCACCCTAACTTCTCTCTCTCTCACCTTTATAGCTAAACCATCAGCAAACCTTGTCTGCTGTACATTCAAAATATAGCCTTAATCCAACTATTTCCTATCGTTTTGTCAATAATATCTTTGTTTAAGCGACCATTAGATCTTACCTGGACTACTAGCATTCCACCTGAATTCCCTGCCTGTACTCTTAACCCCTTATAATGTATTCCCTACATTACAGCAAGTGACCCTTTTTAAGCAATTCAAATCCCCACCCAACACTCTCCAGTGACTTGCCATCTCATTCTGAATTGAAGGACAAATCCTTGCCATAGCCAAGAAGGTCCTGAGGAACTGCACCCCTAGCTCTCTCTCTGACCTCATCTCCTACCACTCACTCGCTACAGTCCAGCCAGTGTTTCCAAAACTGCCAAATGCTCGGATCTCAGAACCGCTGTGGCTGCTAGTCCCTCTGCCTAGAATGTTCTCCTCTCAGGTATCTACCTAGTTCATTCCTTTGCTTCCTCCCGGTGCGTGCTCCAATGACAACTCATTAGAAAGACATTTCCTAATCATTTAATCTACAATAGCTCCACCACAACCCATGATAGAAGTCTTGCCCAAGCCCTTCACCCTGCTTTATTATCTATGTTTATCACCACTTGGCATTTTACAATTTTCTTTATAACAGGATGTGAGCTCTGCAACAGAGTATTTGCCTTTGTCTATTTCTGAACCCCTGCAAGTATAATAAACTCAGCCACTTAATAAGCATTGGCTGTGGTTGAATTAATTAAGTCTTAAATATTTAAGGATGAGTGACTGGGTTACGTGACATTTTCTCTCTTTTCTGCTTCCTTCACAGTGATTTGGCAAAAACTACTCAAGTAGTTTAATAACTATAATCTGGCAGACCTGGAAAGTGCCAATCTAAGACCTAGAGGAAAATGCTTAGTCTGTATATGTCCAATCTTGGACACTAAAACATCCAAATAAATCACACATCAAGGTATTAGAATTTTTCTAATAGTAGATAATTCCTTGCCTAATAAAGAACTGGCCGGCTTTATTGATAACTTCCGAGATATTTTTTTATTTCTGGGCAGTTTGTTAGTGAATGTTAAAGCTGTAAGGTAAATGGAATCCCTGTTATTTTCTGGGTTCATTGCAACTTCAAGGAAAAAGTTATAACTTCTGCCAATTTTCCCCTTAGATTTTAATTTTGGGCCAAGGGTGGCAGCTACACCTATAATCCCAACACTTGGACAGGTCGAGGTGGGAGGATTGCTTGAGACCAGGAGTTGGAGGCCAGCCTGGGCAACATAGCCAGATGCCATTTCTACAGAAATTTTTAAAACTTAGCCAGGCATGGTGGCTTGTACCTGTAGTTCCAGCTACTTGGGAGGCCAAGGCAGGAGCATCCTTTAAGCCCAGTTTGAGGCTGCAGTAAACTACAATCATGCTACTGCACTCCAGCCTGAGTGACAGAGCAAGATCCTGTCCCTTAAATTAAAAAAAAAGAAGGATTTTAACTTTGCTCTACTCTCTCAGTATAAATATTAAGAAACTAATGTTTGTATTATACTAGATGTTTATGGCATATATGTATATATTACAATCAAGAAAAAGACTAAGGAATGGTTTAAAATAACTTCCTGCCTCTGCTCTTAAAACAGAGGTAAGGAGGAAAAATAGTAAATATGTGACTAACGTTTATCTCAGGTAATAAAGAACAAACCTTAGTTTACCTGTGTAGTTAGATAGACATGTCTAAGCAAAAGGCGCAACTGTAAATCCACCTGCTTTGGGAAGCAGGAATGTGCTCTAGAATAACCATTAGAGATATGTTTGAGAAATACAAAAAGGAGATACGGAAACCAGGAACATGTCAACTTCTGTAATCTCACTGACTGTCCTTTCTCCAGACCTGTATTATCTGAGGGTGGTCAGTACATTTCCAAAGTATGGGAAGATGAAGGACAAGCGAACAGAGGGAGGCGTGAAGGATCACTTTTAAAAAAACTATTTTTACTTTTAGTTTTTTAGAGACAGGGTCTCCTTCTGTCACCGAGGCTGGAATGCACTGACACATAGTTCACTGTAACCTTAAACTCCTGGATCAAATGCATAACCACACTCAACTAATTTTATTTTTTTAGAGACAAGGTCTCTCTATATTGCCCAGCCTGGTCTTGAACTCCTGGTCCCAAGCAATTCTTCTGCCATGGACTCCCAAAACACTGGGATTATACACCATGCTCAGCCAGATCACTTTTTTAAAAAAGATTAATTAAATTAGGTGGTGATCACATATGAGTGCTCTGGGTTTCACTTGACAGTATGAAGAGATAAAATTAGTGGGACAAAGTGGATCTTTCAGGGCTGGTGAAAAATTTCCACATATATTTCTAAAAGGAATCAGTGATGTAAGTCTTCCCATTACAGACTCTGGTGTTTTCCATTTGGGGATCTCCTTTGATACAGGAAAACCCCTCACCTACAGAAACTTCATTTCCTTGTACTGTGGGGTGGCTCAGGTGTCAAGTAAAGATTATCCTATAATTTGATACCTACTTTTCTCTAACAGTTTCTACCACCCTGCAATGGGATAACTAATTCCTACATAATGAAAGCCTTGAGAAACTAAGAAATACCAAGATGACATTCCTTTACAGATGTTTCAAATTACAACAGAAAAAAAGTCCTGAGGTTTAAATGGTTATATTATTTCCTGAGTTGTATCTGCTTTTCACTGTCTGGCATCTTCAGTTAAGAAGGTGACAAACATCCCTATGCAGTTCCCTGACATTTATAGAAGCAATAAGGACTGCAATGATTTTTTTCACATGCAAAAATCTGCAGTGCCTCCCTCCCCAAACTTGTTTATGGAAAGAGGCTAAATGAAGTTTTTAAATATAAATAATGATCAATTTCTGTGCTACCCTCTGCTCTCAGAGCTCTCTGTACTCAAGACTAGACTGGGAAATTATCAACTGCTCTTAGAAGAACTGACCTAATAATTAGAATATATCAGGAGAGAATCTAAGGGGTCACCCATATTTATTTGTAGTTCAAATATTATCACAACCAGGGCCACTACAAATAATCACATAAGCTATAGGCTGCATGTCTCTGGGGGTGTCATTTGCACTATCATCTATCATCTGTTTCTAACCTGAAGTGGCAAAGGACAAGTGAAATGACCATTGCTTCACAATGCCATTTAATTTTGCACTTTGACGAAGAAGTAAATTAACCCTACCTCCCATAGCTTGTGAGAAACCCATTTATAAAACAGGATGGCAGTCAATATTATATTATGTGTACTGAACAGCTAATCTGTGAAGCTTTTAGAAGCAGCCATAAGCAGCTGCTAATTAATGGAGTAGGTACAAAAATACAAGCCAATTTTTGTTTCTGGTGTACACATTAGGAATTTAAGAAAAAACACTGATGCCTGGGTCATATCTCCTAAGGCAATTAAATTAGTCTCTGTAGTTGTAGGGCCTTGGCAAGAGAATTTTGTAGAGTTCTCCTTATAGACTTAAAATGTCCTCTCTAAATTTCTGTGTTGAAAGCCTAATCTGCAATGTGATGGTATCAGGAGGGGGTCCTTTGGGAGGTGATTAGGTCATGAGGGTAGAGGTCTCACCAATTGGGTTATAGTCTTATGAAAAGATATAAGAGAGCTTGCTCTATCTCTGCTTAGCACCATGTAGGAACACAAGAAGATGCTGTCTGAAAAGAGGAAGTGGGCCTTCATCTGACACTGGATCTGCCAGCACCTTGATCTTGGACTTCTCAGCCTCTAGAACTGTGAGAAAAATTTCTATTGTTTAAGACACCTAGTCTATTATAATTTAACATAACAGCACAAATTAAGACAGCAGGTGACTCCAATATACAACCAGGGTAAAATAACACCGGTTTAAGTTCTAGAAGTGGACCTCTGTAGTTGTGATAAACTCCTAGAACATTAAAAACAGACTAGAAGAGGAATAATGGTAAGTTTTAATACTCTTACTAAGTTAGGCTATTGTATGCAGCTGAATTGTTAATCTGAGGGTGTTTTATAATTCTTTTTATTAGGAACCATTTACCTAAACAACTTAAACACATTAGAGCAGGAGCGCACTAGCTCCCCAATCTAGTTACTAAAGCACAAATTTGATTGGCAAAGCATGCATAAACATACACATTCTAGATGCAACACAGCAAAATGCTGATGTATAGTAAACCCATTCAAGAAAATACTGTAAATATACAAAACTGATTATAAAACTCCAAACTACCTTTGAAATAATCTAATCCAAATCCTTCATTCCACAAAGGAAACTAAGCTTAAAACAGTCGAGTTTTCTAATGTCACAAAGCGGCTTAATAACAATTGGATTAGTTCAGCTCAATGCACCTTCCATTCCATAACATGATAGTGAAAATTTAAAAGATTTCAAGTAGTTTCTAAATCCACTGTGATTCTTCAGTACTTTACAAAAGGACAAACTAAAGTAAATATATTTCCTAAATTTATGATGTTCCTAGAATGGTCATATGCCAGGGTGCAGTCTCTGATGTTTGTTGAGAGCAGAACGGTATCTGAAGGATTTTCCACAATCATTACATCCAAAAGGCTTCTCTCCTGAATGAATTCTCTGGTGCTGAATGAGATATGTGCTCTGGCTAAAAGTCTTCCTGCATTCATTACAGTTATAAGGTTTCTCTCCAGTATGAGTATTCTGATGTTCAGTCAGATGAGTGCTCCGGCTAAAGGCTTTGTCACATTCATTGCACTTATAGGGTTTCTCTCCAGTGTGAATTCGTTGATGCTGAGTTAGATGGGAGCTCTGGCTAAAGGTCTTTTCACATTTATTACACTGGTAGGGTTTTTCTTCTGTGTGAGTTTTTTGATGTTGAGCAAGTGATGAACAATGTCGAAAGGCTTTACCACACTCTGCACACTCATAAGGCTTGGCTCCTGTATGAATTCTCTTATGTTGTGTAAGGTGTATGTTCTGGTTGAATGCTCTCCCACATTCATTACACTTGTAAGGCCGTTCTCCAGTATGGATCTTCCTATGTTGAATAAGGGATGAGCCATAACTGAAGGTTTTCCCGCATTCATGACACTGATAGGGTTTCTCTCCAGTATGAATTCTTTCGTGCTTAGCAAGAGATGAACTCCGAATAAAAGCTTTCCCACATTCTTTACATTCATAAGCTTTCTCTTGAGTATGAGTTTTCTGATGCTGATTAAGGTTTGAGAGATAACTGAAAGCCTTTCCACATTCACTGCATTCAAAGGGCTTTTCTCTTGTGTGAATTCTCCGATGTTGAGTAAGGGATGAGCAGTAACTGAAGGCCTTTCCACATTCATTGCATTTGTAAGGTTTTTCTCCGGTATGAATTTTCAGGTGTTGAGCAAGGGATGACCAGTAACTAAAAGATTTTCCACATTCCGCACAATCATAGGGTTTCTCCCCAGTATGTGTTTTTTGATGCTGGGTAAGGTTTGAGTGCTGGCTGAAGGCTTTCCCACATTCATTGCATTCGTACGGTTTTTCGCCAGTATGAATCATATGATGACGGATAAAAGTTGAGGGCCCATTAAAGGCCTTTCCACATTCATTACATTTATAGGTTTTTTCTCCAGTATGAATTTTTTGATGTTGAGTGAGGTGTGTGCTCCTGGTGAAAGTTTTATCACATTCATCACATTTAAAAGGCTTTTCTCCTGTATGAATTTTTTGATGTTCCATAAAGTGGCCTCTCTGGCTAAAGGCTTTTCCACACTCATTACAAGTATATGGCTTCTCACCAGTATGAATTCTCTGATGCTGAACAAGATGGGTCCTCTGACTAAAGGCTTTCCCACATTCATCACATTTATATGGTTTTTCTCCAGTATGAATTCTTTGATGTTGAGTAAGAGATGGACCCTCAATGAAGCCTTTTCCACACTGATCACATTTATATGGTTTATCTCCAGTATGAATTCTTTGATGGTTGATAAGGTTTTCACTCCGGCTGAAGGCTTTTTCACATTCATTACATTTGTAGGGTTTTTCTCCAGTATGTGTTCTCTGATGACGAATAAGAGCTGAACAATAACTAAAAGCTTTCCCACATTCATTGCACTTACAAGACTTCTCCTTTTTAACTGGGTTTGAATTCTGTTTGATGCTTCTTTTAGTAGAGATCTGTTCAGGAGATGGTTCTTGTGTTATAAGGTTTGAAACCACATTGATGCTCTTCCCAAATTCATTATTTACAGGACCTTTTTCCCAAGTGGGTATTGTCTTTTCAGTTACTTTTATTTCCTTTGGCAGTGTCTGCTGGTTTACCTGCTGCCTCTCTAAACTGCCTTCATATTTCCAACTTTCTAGCACGTTGGAGCTCCAAGCATCATCTCTTTTGTGTTTTTCCACTATTACCTCTGGAGATAGCTCTTCTTCAGAAATGTCAGGCTGTGGGGCTGATACATTATTTTCAGGTCTTGTCTCCCGGTCTAATAGAAAAAGAAAATTCCATTGTTATCTGAATAGAGAAAAAATAAACTGCTATTGGGGGAATAATCTAATTATACTAAAAAATAAAGCCCTGAGAAAATTCTAATGGTTTTCAAATATATAGCCATATTATTTGGGAAGAAAGATGGAAGGAGCTGAGGAGAATAAATAAAGTGGCAAAAGAAATGTCAAATTCAATTTTACAGATAATATCCAAGAAACCATAAGGAACTACATTTAAGATAATAGTTGATTAAAAAGGAGACAACAGAGATGGCTAAGAGTAGACAGAGATAAACTGAATCTGAAGGGGGCAGTTTGAGTTGGGATTCCTTGCTAATAAACAACAAAACAAAAATCCAAGAACCACAATTTAAAGACAGAACAAACAGGAAAGATGAAGTAGCTAAGACCCTATGTGTTTTAGCCTGGAACACTGAACAAATAATCAAGTCATTGGTAGATACGGGAGAGCTGTAAATAGTAGAGGAAATAATTTAGCAGGGAGAAACTAACAAGTTCAAGTCTAGGCATTTTGAGAATCCAGAAAAGAAATGGAGGGCTAGATTATACTAGTGTCTATGGAAGTGAAAGATGCCAACATCAGAATAACCAGGATGTTCAAACGTAGGATGGGAAGTATCAGCTATAAAGAGGAAGGACAAGAATAGCTAAAGCCTTAGAAATATAAGTGAAAAAGAGCAGAGGCAGAGAGAAGATCCTTGAGAATAGTTAGGGTAATAGAATTAATATATTAATGAAAGAAAGCAATTTATCAGCAAATGCACAAAACAGTAGAAGAAACACAACCAGAGAAGTATATAATCAGGAAGTAAACTGTTGCCTAAAACAAGTGAGATGACAACTAAAAGAAGCAGGGTAGTGAATGCTGGCAATATGCTTAACAAAGCTTCGCTTAAAACAGCATTTCTTCAGTTTCAATGGTATCGGAAGTTTATAGCAGACCCCAGAGGATCCTGAGTATTTCCCATATTGCAAGCCCAGTCACTATCATTATCACTATCACTGCAAGCATGAGCACTGGGGCAGACCCCAGAGCCGACTAGCATCCCCTCCACACCTGGCAACACGGGTAATAGCACAGCATGTATTAGTGTAGGCAGCATCATAGCAGCAGAATTTCAGCAGCAGGGACAAGATCAATACAATACAGACTTTGGAAACAGCCCATTGTTCAAGAAAGAAATATGTTTTCATCAACAGAAATGACACCAAGGAAGGTATGTTTGCATAGCAGGTGGCCATAAAGAATACCTCTGGAAGTACTTCACAGTGAAAGATATGGAGACCATGGAGTCTGATTCTGTTAAACAACAGTGCATGGAAGTGGCAGATCTCCAACCCTGGTTGGGGTTCCACTTGAAGGCAACATGAAACAGACCATGGCCGCTATCATCCACGTTGTCATGTCCTCTACTCAGTAACCAACAGAATTACTGGAATATAAAGGGTAGGGCAAAGAATGAAGGGATGGAGAAAGTTCCAGAAGACCAGATTGAACAATACCATCCCTACTGCAGAAAGTAATTCCCCCTTTACTACATACAAAGTCTACAGACATTGACCATAGTATTCTGACATCCCATGCATGGAGAAGTAATCAAGGATGTTGACAACCAGTGGGCAAGAGAAAGGTAGACCAGTGAGACAGATATGTATCAGGGTTATAGATCATGATTCTGAGGGGCAGGATCATCAAGACAGCTCCAAGAAGATGGCAATGAAGAGGATGAGGGAAATTACGCTCAGGGCTAGTGGTCACCTCAATGTACATACTGTCACAGTGTCAGTTACCTGTAGAGACATCTACAAAACTATACATCATTTTTATAAAGACAATGGCAACCAACTGACCAGCTAAGAATAAATCTATTCTAGATGCTGATAAAGATAGAACTGAGGGCTGATTTACCATGAATATCATTATCAGGTCAAATTCCAGCAATAAAAAGTAACCAAAAGAATGCAGCTAAATATCTCAAATGCTTGCCTTCTGTTCACTGACAACCAGATAACTGGAACTATATGGCTCACACCTGTAATTATAGCATCTTAGGAGGCTGAGGCAGGCAGATCACTTGAGCTTGAGCCCAGGAGTTCAAGACAAGCCTGGGCAACATGGTGCAACCCTGTATCCACTAAAAATACAAAAATTAGCCAGGCGTGGTCGGATGCACCTGTACTTCCAGGTGCATCCCAACACGCCTGGCTAATTTTTGTATTTTTTTTTGTACTCAGGTGCCTGAGGTGGAAGGATTGCTTGAGCCTCACAGGCAGAAGCTGCAGTGAGCCAAGATTAC